AATATTGTACGTTTTATTTTATCTAAGCGTTTCTCTGAGATTGGATTATCGTTATCCAGAGCGGGCGGACGACTATTTGAAAAAAAAGAATATATCCTGCTATACGTTATATGGATTGAACCACGTCAATTGCGTTTTGATCGGTACATCAAAACCTTCATCATTTTGGAGGTCTTTATAGGGTTGAGTTATAGGCAAATTCCGTCCGGAGAGAAATGTCCCAAATTTTACAATTAATCCGTGAATGTATTCACTCCAGATTAATCTACATTTTTAGTGACCAACAATGCATCCCCCTCGATGAAGTGGATATCCTTGGTTGAGCAAAGCGTCCAGTGTTGTACTAAATGTTCTAACTTTCGTTTCAGCGCAGCCTTAAAAAAGAGACAAAACCTCTGATTTTCTGTACCCGAGTGCCTCGTTGTACTGGCATAGCTAACCCCTCAGCTTTGGAGCAGCTACCCTGCATCGGCCGCCATGATGTATGTGATGGGCCTTATGCATTGCTGAAAGTCCCATACACATACATTTGCATTGATCTCGAATTTGGATTGAATCAAATTAAAAAAGTATCCTTCTTGGTCTAAAGGACAATGATTCCGTGTTTTTTCAGGACAGAAATTAACTAAAGATTGAACGTTGATAAAACTTTACCGTGTCATATATATCTATGCGTGTATATGCATGTCATGTATTATTATCCACCATCGTAGGCTATTACAGCAATTCAGTTAGTATTGCTTTTTATATCCAAAATTTTGGAAGTAATTAGCGTTCCTCACGCCGAACATGTGTCAACAATTGAACTGGAAGTATATGCAAGCTTAACTGTAATGATTATAGTAATAGTAGTACGCACGAAATTTGGAACACACACCACGAAATAGAAATCACAGAACACAGATCAAAGATCAGTTATCACGGACTGAATCACGGAAGCATTGGACTGCAATGGCATGAGCTCGTAACTTCCCACGTGAACGAGACGCGAGGAAAAGGTCACGAGACTAGCAATTCGTCGTTCGTTTATTGAAAGAAATAAAGGCGATTAAACAATATGTACAAAAGAGGGTCATTGGTTATCTTGGCTTCTACCAATCATATTGTGGTATTGCTTGCATACTTCTGCTTCTGTCTGCACTGTCTCGGATTGGCTGGCACGACCCACCAATGGCGTGTGATCAGAAGCCGTGACGCGTACGCGCATCATGGACGTCACTTTTCAAATTCAGTTGATTGCAGATGTCCAGAAACTGTATCGCGCCGCTCCAGGGTAGGCGTCATCGCGTAGGCCTGGATCACCACATTACCCCAAGGTAATATTGAGCGAGCAATTAGTGCATTAGAAGACGAAGAAGAAGCTCACAGAAGAACCGCGTAGAATGGTTGTCGCCTGTCTTACAGACTGCGCTTTGAAGGAATGCGTTACTGGTTGGTTGGAGACACTGCAGGATCTTGCAGCGAACCGACAGGAGTGACGTCCTTCTCTTCATTTCTTATTAGTGTTGAACAGATGACTAGATGTAGCACAACTCTAAGTTCATATTTGGTTAATGGGTCGTACATCACTCACAGAATATCATTTTGTTCCATCAGGTGTACATTGTCTGTTCACCCTCAGGAATTTAATTGTCACTTATTCTGGTGTCTCACTGTCCTTCCACATGTATAAGCTTTTAGCCCCTTCAGAAACGCTGATCACTTGTCTGTCTTCTTATCCAACCAGAGGAAACATCAAATGGCCCCATTTGGTACTTGCGAACGTGTAGTTTATGTAGATGGCCCGTGCTATTTAGAGCGGTGTACCGCTATTATTTTTCGGGGTCTTTTTCGTTTTTGATTCTTTCTGAACACCATTTATGATCAATTGTATTTCGACAACGGTTCCACTTTTGTACCGTTTTGTTATGCTTTGGCTGCTTTTATTCTTCTTAATTGATCAGTACATTTCTTTTCGTCACCGTGGCGGATTAACCCAAGCCATTCGTTCGGGCAATTTTCGTGTCCACTCCTTGTTACTAGGCTACCACGAAACCACCAGTTTGGTTAATGGTGATCGAGTAAGCCGTTCGAAGTAAAAAAAGTAGTTTCTGATCAACAAATTTAAGGAGAGCTGTTATTGATCTCCAACACGCTCCAACGAGACATCATCTGAATGTACCAAAAATACAATACTACTACTGAAAAGGAGTACTATGTCATAGGTTGGCCATTACCGTGTAATTCCTTAGCACGTGTTTTCCCGAACAATAATGACGATGATGGTATGTAAAAGTCTGGAATCACGACGATGATAAAAGTCCGCCGAGTGCAGCAACATGTAAACAAACAAAATGAAACGCATTAACCCGCTGAACGAGTCGGTCCCTGCAAAACGAATATCACCATACGTTGGTGACAGATTGAATAGGCAGATTGATTGTGGAGAAAAGCCAAGTCTGATACATGGCAGAAAATATCCGAAGTTCTTTGTATAATCAAACACAACCGAGAGTTATTTGCATGTGATGGAGAGCGGTCTAATCATTCGTAATTGCAACTGGTTGTCTGGTTGATTGATGATAGCCTGCCCATTGATATTAATTCCTTCAGCATATTGAAAAGGGTGGTTACCCTGAAGAACTGGTAGTATCATTCTATGTAATTATTTGTACTCTGTCCGAGCCAGGCGACCATGATTTCAAAACTTGACCGCGTTCTGACTCCCGAATATTGCCGTTTTGAGTGATAAAGGCATAATGCACTCTGAACAACAGAAGCAATTATATTTTGACGCATAAATAAATATAAGCAAAAGGACGATAGCGAACGGTCAAATGATCAGGGAGATGATGGATGGATGGATGGATGGATGGATAGATGGATGGATGGATGGATGGATGGATGGATGGATGGATGGATGGATGGATGTTAAAGCACTCCGTCCGTGAAATATTTCCCCCGCAATTTCTATAAGGAAAACAAATAAGAATGAAATAAGACGATGTTCTTAGTAAAACGTCCGGATAGTTTATGAAACGTTTGAACTCGGTTTGAAGCCAGCCATTGAGACACAGCGGTTTGTTTGTATTGAAGGCAAATTGATGTAAGTTTAACTATCTTTGTTTAATGCTCATATTGAACTGTTTGCAGTTCTCGGTTTCAAACTACTAAAAGTGATCAAACCATTCAGAATTCCCGACTCGGTAAGTGCATTAAATCAGCAGGAAAAAGGAAACCCCCATTTTTGAAAGAAAACTGTACAATATATCTTTTTTTCTGATAAATCGTTTACAAGTATTCCTCGGACTTGAAATCGAAATTTTACTGAGCATGTTCCGTATTCTTCAAGTTGATATGCTAAAACCCAACGGATGTTCTCCTGTATAGAGCTACCAAATACTAACGATTTCTTTCAAAAAACTGCAGCTTTGTAAAAACCTGTTCTGTCTCCCTTACAATAAAATTCAATCGTTGTGCGCAAACAGAGAAATCACGAGCCTTCATTTAGATTGTGAACTGTTGTCTGCTGGCCTCGAATGCCGACGCAAAGCGCAGCAACATGTGTTTGATGTGCCATATGTTATTGTCGGACTCTGTAAACTGAAAGACCATCATGGAGTCCTGCATTTGAATGAAATTGGAATGGTGGTTAGCACCGTTTTGAATAGATTCGCACAATGATAACACAAGCACACATACGCATTCCATGTGCCTGAAGTTCGAATCTTATACCAGTCATGCAAACGGTCACAATGAATGAAATCTAGTGAGGAAGGTACTAGAGTGTAGTGCTTGAGGACTGTTCGGTTTTGTGAAGACGAAGTTGTTTTAATCGGTGCAGAGTACTCATCATCGCTAACCAAGCTAACTTGTCTCTCGAGTATAGTTAGTCCAAGTTAGTCCACCTTGCTCATTTGGTTTAACTTCACGTTCTCCTCTCTGAAGCAAGGTAGCTGTTCAGTTTCACATTATTTAGGGTGAACTCTCGGTACTTGCTCCTAGACCGGAGGTATAAGGTTCGCATGGAGTTTGGATAAGCTATGAAACGCGTGGAGAGGACAAATTGAGTCTCATGTAACCAACCATATACCAGGAAAATTCATACATTAGTAAAGTAGAAGAACGTGAAATAACAATATTATTGATAGAACAAACCAATTCGGCATTAGTGTAATTCGCTCAACCAATCATGATCAATCGAACACCGGTTTTACGCTTACATTATTCATCCACATCTAAAAGAAAAGAAAATGAACATATAACAAAGAAAATGAAGAAAACGCGTGTTTATCAGTAATATTTTTGAGTGAAATGTTGCATTTCATGAGAGTGAGAGAAAATAAATTCGGCGATCGTTTAGGATGAAATCTGAACGTCGTGAAAATGTTGACGCCAATCATGAAAGATACACAATCGGCTTAGCAACGTGTAGCATATGATTCTGAAGAAGTTCGGACGGACCGGGTGGGAATAAGCACAGGTCAATGATAGAGGAACAAAAAGAAACAAGGAATTTGACGTTATCAAGCCACGCAAGTGCTACAAACAGGGTTGTACATAGCTTGGATGTTTTCTTCATTTCCAGTAGACATTATCACGATAAAAATCAGATGAAATTATTGGGAAAAATAATGTACAGTATAATCATTGGTGTTATTGGGGAACAAAACACATTGACTCACATGAATTTCGAGCATCCAGGCATAATTGTTCCTTGAGAACCCAACGATCTGTGTGGAGACATGGAAAGTAAAATACATTCCCGTTATGAAATTGGGAACAGGTTTGTCACGTTTTGTCAAAGAGTTCACTTTTCTCATTCCCGTTCGAAACAAGGGTCATAGGTCATAATACTATTGTCAATAGCTTTACTGATAGGTTCCTTTTATAAAATGCCCTTCTAATCATTTAGACCAGCAATTCGCAGTTCGTAATGTGTTTGAGTTGATTGCACATGACTGGACAGCTAAAAACTGATCTGCAATATCAGCCCTCTAGAACCGGTAGGCATATACGTATTACCGATCTGCATTGCAAGTGGGTGGAGGAGGTGAAAAATTGCAACTCAATTGCAAATTCCACTGGAAACTGGTCACGGTGCAACCTGGTTGAGGATAAAATGTTGTGCATAAGAGTTTTCGTGACGGTCAAATTTACGCTTCAATGTCTTATCCTGACGGTTATCAAGGTTAACCAACAGTTGCTTGTGGACGTGGAATGATGTTGACTTTAGTGCCACTTATTTGACTAACCGTTCCATTCCAACCTCAAATTCATGCACAATCTTCGGTTGATCCAAATACATGATACACCCAAGAAACACTCAACTTGAAGTTTGCTTTCGCTCAAGCTCATCTGGTCCACATATTCTGGGGTTCAGATATGCAAGATATGCATCCAGTCTCTGACCTTCAATAACCAAAGTTAAATTACCACGGAACTGATGAGTCTATATATCTATTCGTCAAAGTTGTAATCTAGGACGTTTCCATTGTTTAAGAAATACTGTTGTGCTTTTTGCAGAACGTTAGTGATCCTACTTAAACTTAACACAAATCACCGCTTGGAATACGAGAATCCGGCATCAGAGATGTTAAAATGTGGTTGGATCAGATGATATTAGTCATCCATTGGGTTTGTTCTTTTCCGATCCAGCAGCATTGACTGCTAAGCCAGTAAACATGATTAACCACGTATTAACATTAAACAGTCTGCATGCATTCACCTAAAACCAGTATGACTAATTTATTTAATCAGTTATTCACCGTGCATGCAGAGTTCATTATATCGGTACAAATGAAAGATCAGTGAAACACTCACATTCCGGAGAGATGCGAAAACTTTTATTATGGTTCTTCATGGATTCTTGTAAACGTGAGCTGATTGCCGACAATGTGCCGGTTATTTCTTCTGCTAGTTTCGGCTGTTCCTCCATCAACGAATAGAGGTTCAGGACGATTTGCATGCCAAAACGTGCCTTATCCCCAAATCGACTTGAACGTACAATACTGCGCGATATGATGTGTTTGGTCAAACCCTCATTTTCGAAAATCTGAGATAACTGAAATAAAAACAGAAGTTCATATGAACAAATTATCGATTGTATAACAGAACTAAAGGTTACGGAAACCATCCTTGACTATAGCAGAAAAAGGATTAAAACATCACTGGCTAATTTTTTTTACTGCCAACAGTGCACTCAATGGCTCTGGGCATTGCGCTGCTCCAACTGAGGAAAACGAGGTCACAGATGTAACTTATCTGTTTCTTATGATTTTATTCGATATGATTTTATGCTTATGATAAAAACAGAAAATCAGTGATTTTTGCTAGTTACAAAACCAGTCGTGGTTAATGCATGCATCCCAATTGAACACAACGCTATTTATTCAGTTGTACCGCTGTACGTGCTCAATGTCGCTCGGCGCTAAATCAGGATCCAAAAACTGCGCGTTTTTAGGTATATTTTTCAAACGAGTTTATCCATTGCGACTCATTACCCTTTATTACCAAGACGAGTATCAATCAGTCATTCTTTCCGTTGCATATTATTCCACAACATACAGACCACTTATCCTTGAACAAGCTATACGGTACTTTGAACACGACCCCAGAAATCCTTGCTCTGCATTGCGAAAGGACTATAAGGATTTGGAAACTACATACAGATCGGTCAATTACGGTCAGACAGTTTACCTTCAAGTGGGTTCTGATGAGATCCCAAGTGTACTTCTAGCTTCAGATCGATAAAAGTGTTCCAAGTCGCCAGTGGTGACTGGCAAATTTGTCATCG